TATATCAAATATTTTTAATAGGTTATATATCGATAATTAACAAATATTACTATATATCGATAATAATAGGTCTGCTATATTGCAATATGAACTAATAAATGATTTATATCTATATTAACATATCGATAATTAGTTATTTAACGATATTTATTATTTACCGGTATATATCATTTTTTAGTTATATATCATTATTTAGCCTAAATTATCGATATATGCCGTTATTTTCTAATCGATATGCATTGATTTATTGCTATATATTGATATGTATCTATATAAAAAATTTTCTGATGATAGGTTAGGGTGTCCAGGATTAGACTATTAGCATAATTTAGCATAATTTGAGTTTGTTAGCATTATTATGATAGCAACAGAATTTAGCAGAATTTGCATTTTTTAGCATAAAATTTAGCATAATTTGAAGAATTTTTGATAATATATAGAGTATGTATCACCAAATTTTTAACAAAAATAGTAGGTTTGGTGATTATATACTTACAGCACAGAAAATCTAAAACATAATATATAAGATAAAAATTACAATGCTAAATTCAGTAGCAACTTACATAATTTAAGATTTATTTTTAATATACTACATACATACCAACTAATGCATTTTTAAATTTTCTATACCGTACATACATACGTACATATGTATACCTGTATATAATATGCTTCACCAAATATTTGAATTAAGAATAATGTTTCCTGGTTATATTTAAACTTTACTTGATCTATTGTGCTAGCTTTAAAGATGATAAACGTATATATAATTGTTACTAGAAAGCATTTACCAATTTACATTGTTATTAGAGATTGAGCCAATATATTTGTATTAGAAAATTAAGAAGTAATTTATTATTTGATAAATAGGTATGAAGCTAATTTAACTAAGTTATTAAAGTAATATATTCATATTAATAAATCGAAAAGTAACTTATTGCCTGATAAATAGATATGAAGAAACACTTTCTAATTTAAAAAAGTCATTAGAAATTGAACTAAATAAGCATTTGTATTAATAAATTGGGGAGTAGCTTATTGTTTAATAAATGGATATAAAGTTAAAATTGAAAGTAACTTATCATCGGCTAAATATAGATAATAAGACTAGCCTAATTGGTAATCATACTATTTCTATTTTTAATAATTAATTGAAACTTGATTTTTTATAATAATTTAAATTTTTCTCATGAACAGTTAATTATTCTTCATGCCACAAATAATTACTGCTCTGAACGTGCCCATCAACGGGAATTTTCTAATGATTTTTATGCAAGTGGTACTCAACTTTTTTGCCGCTTTTGCAATAAGTTTGTTGATTATACTAAGCACTTTACACTTAAGAATCATCAACAATCTACAAAACATATACATCAAAAAGAAATACAACTTAACTGCTTAGCATCAAGCTCAAGTTCTACAATACCTCGTCAAACTACACTACTAGTATTATTTCCATTAGTATCAGAAAATACTCAAATTAATATTAATTTAGTTACAGCTTTTGTGGAAGCTGATATTCTCTTGGAAAAGGTTGATAAAATCAACCCTTTTTTAATTAAATATTGTAATAATGGTAAAGTTTGTTTAGTATTAACATATTATTAAATGTAAATTAAATAATTTAAAATATAAGAGGTGTGGCGACTTAGTGAAGTGGTCTAGTTGTCACCCTTACCAAACGTTATGGGAAGATCCCATGTTCAAATCCCAGGGATGGCGCTTTTGTAATATAGGAAAAGTCTGCGACGATCTTCACTAAGGTTGGCCCATGGAGGATCTGTGAGATGGTGTCTGGTGGCACCGTTGAGGTGATTCCGGAAGGCTGTAATCTGTGGGCTGTGCATAGCACGAGTCACAGAACCGGAGATCGAAGCCCATTTGGGAAGACCAAGTTGGGAGGTAGCAGTGATCTCCGATGGTACTACATGAAGGCTGAATTTGAACTGGGGCCCGAGATTGGAGAACCTAGCAATTAGGTCCTTTAGTGGGGGGACATACCAGCCAAACCACCGGTTTAGACACACTAGAGAAAAGGCCATATGCTCCGAAAGTATAGACTAAGGGGAGGGCGTCCTTCAGGCACCTAAAGCCTGGGCAAACCAACCCGTTCGGGTTGCTGCTAGAAGTAAGGGAGGGACCGATAGAGAATCTGGGTAAAAAGACGGTTAGAATGTGGGTACCGGGGTTGTTGTGAAACTTACAAGGGCAGGAGTACGTAATTGGCAACTAATTAGGAAGGTTGTGCTTGAGATACAGATCGGGTTATGGCAGCACCCAAAAGTTGGCTTGAGATACGAACCCGGTTGCGGCAGTACAACAGGTACTAGTTAAAAAGAAGTTACCGAACATGCAGGTGAGCGCATGTGTGAGACATGCACCACTCTGTTAGGTTTACTACAAGGATAAATTCCTTCTATTGTTGGCTAAAGTCTTAGGGTCTTTAACAGTAAATTACTCTCCATATGGAGGTATATTAGGAGAAATCATGTGATGTTGGTTGAAGCCAGAGAGTTTAAATAGATAGCTTTCTAGTTAGGCTATAGGTATGACAGCTAGTGTAGAACTCCTAGCATAGCACTAATGCTTCGGGCGGACTACTTAAATAGGCAATCAAAAGTTGTATGTGTGACTAGTTGTACTCTCGTGATACTGATAAAATATGTAAAGCCAGTGCTAAAATTAACATTGGCCTACCGCTTGTACTAATAAAGTGCCAAGGGCCTAAGTGGTCACCTTAATATTAAAAAAAAAAAAAAAAAAAAATTTCTTATATATGGTTATTTAACTACTGATCGAAACCTTAGGCTGTTTTATTTTGGTTTGTGGTCCACAACTTTAGAAATCCCAAAGTTTCTTACTTTTTTTAAAATACATTAATGACCAACGTAGGTTTAGACACAGCTCAAAACCCTTTACTTTATGAATCAAATCAGATTTTTGATGACGAACACGACATTGCTAATGAAAATAGCGTGTTCTTTTTTCCCATGGGAGAGATGGACAAACTCCCTACAAAGATTTACAAGAAAATAAGCTGTCAACTGAAATACAGCAATGCTTACTACAAACCTTCTCTAGAAATGCCCTTATCAAGTTTTTACCACCACCTATGGACAAAGAAATAGCTAGGTGCATGCGGAAAGAAGCAAATAAATTGGACAAACCTTGCAACATGTCTTCTACCATATATTTTCCACACTTAAGCCTCTTGATAATGCTATCCATACACTCTATCAAACTAAGCCAGATGAACAAAATAAACAGGCCTTTGAGACCTGGGGGAATATGGAATTATCTCTTTTTGCAACAAGAATGTTGCTACTTGATTCTCTATCTTACATTGTGAACAACGTGAAGAATACACAATCAAAAGTATATATCCTGCTCATTAGCCCAAATCTGAGGTAAAACCACTATTTGCTGATAGACTTAAAGATGTTATTAAGACAAAAAATGAAGAGATAAAGTTCTTTAATGATACTGCATGACAGAACAAACACGCACAATTATCTCAATTTGGGTTTAGGAATAAATCTTTACAGCAGAATAAATTTAGTAAAGGAAGAAGTTTTCAACGTGGTACACAGAATATATGGGCTCAAAATACAACTTGATGGAGACAAAACCAGAATTTTTCCAAACACGATTCCCAATCGCAATCTCGCCAATAAAGAGCAATATGGGGCAATATTAGCTTTCTTTCACCAAAAATGGATTGAAATAATTGGCAAATCGTGGATAACAGACATTTTAAAATATGGTTACAAACCCACATGACAAAACTCACCTCCTTTATAACACCAACCACTATCTTGTTGAACATTGTCAAAACAAGAAGAATCTTTATTAGGCCAAGAAATAAAAAATCTCATCAAGCAAGAGGTTATTGTAAAATTTTCAACAAACATACCATGTTTTTGCTCCAATCTTTTTTTAGTTCCCAAAAAATCCAGAGATTTCTGTCCAGTGATAAATCTTCGACAACTCAACAAATTTGTCCTTCATCAAAAGTTCAAAATGGAAAACATTCAATTACTAAAATCATTATTAAGACCTGGCAACTATATATCAAAAATCGATATAAAGAATGCATTTTATCACGTTTCGCTTTCACCAAAGGCCAGACCTTTTTCACTTTCGACTTCCGGGGTTCACGCTATGCATTTACAGCCTTGCCATTTGGTCTAACAACAAGTCCCAGAATCTTCACCAAGATACTGAAGCCAATATTGAAGGTTCTCAAAGCTCAAGGAATCAGATTGATCACCTACTTAGATGATATATTAATCTTAGCAGAGTCAAAAAAACTAGCTCTAGAACACACTCACAAGGTTTATGGAATGTTAAAATACCTTGGATTCATAGTAAACGAAACGAAATCACAAACTCTACCAGTAATGACAATCGAGTTTCTTGGATTCGAGATAAACTCTTTAGATATAACCTTCAAAATTCCAGAAAGAAAAGTGAAGAATATTATTCGAGAATGCAGAAGAACGAAAGCAAAAGTAACAATACATATATAAAAACTAGCAGCATTATTAGGAAAACTAAGTGCTACGACAAAAGCTCTGTACCCAGTAAAGCTTTTCTCAAAAGCCCTACTCAGGGACAAGAATTTATCTCTAAAAAACAAGAGATGGAGTGTGATAGTCAAGCTTTCGAAGGAGAGTCTGCTGCAATTGGACTCATGGATACACAACCTATCACTTTGGAACGGAAAACAAGTCAGTATCAAAGATCCCTCCACGATAATCTATACCGATGCCTCCAAATCAGGATGGGCACAGTGTTGAATGAAGAAGTAATATCGGAAGTATAGAACAATCGAATGAGCAAGAACCACATTAACCTTTTAAAACTAATAGCTGTGAAGAATGCTTTGAACAGATGGACCCATATCAAGAATCAATCTGTAATAATCAGGAGTGACAATATGACTACAATGTCATATATAAACAACCAAAGCAGGACACTATCAATACAAATGAGTCTCTTGGCAGAATCATTATAGACAGAATATCTTCGCCGCCAAATAATTATAAAAGCTGAACACATACCAGGCCACCTGAATATCATAGCAGATCAAGCCTTACGCATTAAGGAGGATTGTTACAATTGGTCAATAAAACGTTAGATCTTTACTCAGATAAAACAGATATGGGGCCCAAGGAACATAGACCTATTTGCAGATTCCAGGAATTACTTGATACCAACATATGTCTCGTGGAAACCAGACCCAAAGGCAATTGCTACAGATGCTTTCCTGCTCCCATGGAAGGGGTAGAAAATCTGGGCCAACACATCATGGTTCCTACTTTACAAAGTATTAAACAAGGTCATCAGAGAACAGGTGATGATCATAATAATATTTTCTCAATGGCTGTTAGCACTATGGTTTTCAATACTGCTGTCTCTTCTGGATGACTTTCCTAAACTAATTCCCAAGAACTCAACTATAACAATGGGAAACTACTATCAACACCACCAAATAATGAAATGAGATTTTTGCGCAGCTCGTATATTAGGTCTCATCTCATAAACCAGGGCCTTTCAAAGAAAGCTATCAAACTCTATGAAGCAGCATATAATATTAACTTATCAAGAACTGTGTCATTAAATATTAAATGCTGGATTTCTTGGTGTAGTGAAAAACAAACTAATCTCGTTACTTGCCCTCTAAATGATATAATCGAATTTTTTGAAGAACAACTGAATGCAGAGAAAGCCTACAACACGATTGTAGGCTATAGATCAGCAATTAGTGAAATCCACGATTGGATAGATCTTTCACCCATAGGTTTTAACCCTACCATTATTAAGGCCATGAGAGGTGTTTATAATATAAATCCACTGAATTCTCATGATGATAACGTTGTAGATTTAACTCCTACATTCGACAAGATTCATTCTTATAGCGACAATGAGACAATGAATATCTCTCTTCTACTACATAAAGTAGCTTTCTTATTAGCCATAACCACAGCTAGTCGATCCTCAGAATTGTCTTGAATTGATCTTACCTCCTGCAAGATGATAGATGAAGATGTTATATTCTCCATCAAGAATCCTAAAGAACACAAGATCTCTCTTGCACATGGAGGAAATAAACCCCAAACTAAAAGTATTTTCATTGGAGACTATAAAGATTTACCTGACATATTTCCTATAAGGGCAGTTAATATTCTTTTAAGATGAACAGAGTCTTGAAGAACTACAATAGAACAAAAATCATGCTTATTACTTGTCTCAACGTCTAGCCACAAACCTCTGACATCATCCATGATCGCTAATTGGATTAAGAAAGTACTTATAAAAGCATCTCCTAATCTAAGGGCTAAAAACACAAAAACACTTGTAGCTTTCTATACACAATTTTTCGGTGCGAATCTATCTACTATTCTTGCAATAGATAACTGGTTCAGTCATAGCACTTATCAACAATTCTACCAGAGAGGCGTGATGTCAATGATTCAGAAGACACAAGTTGCACAAGGAATTTTGTCTTTGGCCAATAGCAATAAAAACTCTACTCCACAATAGCCACATGATCTGAGATTCACTTACAAGTGAAGTTTATTTATTTAAATGTATGAGCAATACGAAATGTATTTGTAAATGGACAAGCAAAGTAAGTGAATCAAAGATCACCACTTCCCGCCACAACTCTCCCACTAATAAAAATAATAATAATAAATAATATACAAAAAAAAAAAAAAAAAAAACAAAAAGGAGGGATGAAGAATAAATAAATAAGACAATCAATCGTTAAATTAACAGCCTAATATTTCGATCAGTAATTAGATAACTATATATAAGAAATTTCAATCAATCAAATATAACTATATGTACACGTGATATACTGCAGTTGGATGCAAATCTAATAAAACTAGGCTAAGCCACATGATCTTTGATTCACTTACTTCGCTTGTCTATTTACAAATACATTTCGCATTGCTTATACATTTAAATAAATTAAATAAAAAGGTTTTATTAGTCCATTGATGTTTCTCATATAATAGATATTCTACTGATTCAGCATATTTTTTTTGTAATCTTCTTTATAATTATTTCTGATATATCTATCTAATTCCATTCTAATTAGCTCTTCTTTGAAATAAATTACTTTAGTTATAATTTCTTTAGATACACTTTTAATCACATTCTATAAATAAAATTTATTAATGTTATTTAAAATATTAAATTATCTTAAATATATTATTAAGTGTTAGTTTATAGTAACGGGTTGCTATAGTGACCCTATATGAATAGCCAATTAAAATTGAGCATGTGAATATATGGGCTGTGATTTGAGAAAAGGGCCGAAATTGACAAAAAAAAAGATCTTCAGAAAATCAATTTTTATATTGTAAATCTTATAATAAATTATAAGAAAAAGCAAACTTTAAAGAGCTATACTGCAAAATTTTATTAATACAACTGCTTTTGTGTCTTAAGTGAAAAATGATTCTAATCTTATTCTAAATTAATTTATATAAAAAAATATCTTTTGAAAAATTTGTCAATTTCAGCCCTTTTCTCAGATCACAGCCCATATAATAAGTTGCTTACTATTGGCCAATAAAAATTTTAAAAATTTATTTGAAAAGTGATAACTATATAATGTAATACTGAAATAGTAAGTTTTCTAATACATAATAGAAACTACAATTAAACTAATACTAAATCAACTTTAAGTTTGTAACAGAGTTTTTATAGTAGCTTATAATAGAAATTACAATAATTCTAATATTACTCACAATAGATATAACAATAATTTAAATCAAATTAACTTAGCTTAACAACATACTATAATTTCTAAAATAATTTTATAATAAAAAATAAAAAAAATATAAAAAAAATTGTATTAATTCTAAAATATAATTGGCTACTATATGTAGGGTCACTATGAAGACGGGTCTCTATAAAAAATTTAACTATATTATTATAATATTAAAAAAATAAATTGAACCTTAATAATTATTTCTTTAAATATTTTATTATTGGAAAAATCGAAATTAGTATCTAATTTTTTCTCAATATCTTTCAATCTAGTTTTTATAATTCTGACTTTCACTTTAATATCTTTAACTTCTTTAAGTATCTCGTCTTGATTCTTAATAATCTTCAAAGTAGATTTAAATTAATCATATAATATTAAAATAACATTAAAAAATTTTAAATACATTTAAAACTATTCAAATTTTCATAATAAGTCAAAGTTCTACTTGGTCCAATTTCAAGGTTGTTGACTTTATTATAGAAGTTTTCACTTAACTCAGTTATATGAGTAGATTCAAGGCTTGCCTTCTTTGTAGTTAACTTCCTTTGAGATTTCTTCACAGTTTTCTTTAAGATAAGATTAAGACTTTGAAATTTATCTAAAATAATTTAAAAATTTTCAGTTATTTGTTTATTATAATATTTAAATATTGAATAATATAAATTAATAAATAATATATTACTCATTTTTAAAAAAAGTTATAAAAAAACTTAAAATGAAATTTAAAAAAACTCTTTCTGGTTCATTCCTAAAAATCAAAAATTTAAGTAAACAAAACACAATCAAACTAACAAAGCTCGGTACTGTAATAAATAAATAATCTATTGGGTCCTCTGGAACAAAGAACAAACTAATACCACACAGTATTACAATCTTCGAACAAAATTAAACACACAAGAGACTGTTTTTTCTCCACTCCTTAGATTTTTGAGCTTTTTCTCATCTTTACCAGTCACTCTATACTAACTATGAACACACACATCTCAACTCCCAACCAGTTCTCTCATTCCTCTAATTAAGAGTAGAGGATACTATTTGCAAATTATATATAAAACTAATAGCAACTTTTTTTTTAAAAAAATTAAAGAAAATTTTATTAAGTAAACTAGTATTAAATTTCTAATTAAAGATGTAAAACAGGTTTTTCTGATTCTAACAGTAGTAAAATCATTAAAATTGGTTAGATATTTATTGAGATACATGTATTTAAACATTTAGTATTATAAATTATTTATAAAAATCATATGATAATCATATGATATAAGCCAATCAAAATTAATGATTTTGTGTAACCCCGGAGAATTTGAACTTACTACGGAAAACTTACAATATATACAAGTATATTTTTTTTAAATATTTGATTTATTAAAAAGTTTACTATTATAAAGAATAAATATTAATCTACATAATATAAAAATTTTACAAAAATTAATTAAAACAATAAAAAGTTTTATTAGTAGCATATTTTATTTTTTATAAAAATCACGTTGTACCACAAAAATCATATGATAAATGATTTACGTATCCTCTACCCTTAAGCATTTAACAACCTCCTTCTCGCAAAAAGAAGCAAACAAAATGATCCCAATACTACAGTTACTCAAATAGACTACTCTTTGACTACTCCTACTTCAACTGCTCTTACAACACAATTACAACAAAGTGGGCAAAACACCATAACTTCTAAAAACAACAAACCAGTTAGGGCCCCTAGGCCCGTCCCAGTTAGCATGAGAAAAACCACAGAAATTCTCACACTGATCATCACAACAAACACCGATCCCAATTTGGTACAACAACTTACCTCAGCAGTTGACTTACAATTTTCTAATTTCCTGGGGCTTTCCAGATCCAAGGACATACTTACAACTGAGTTCAACCTACTTACGGCTGACAACTTAGCTCTTTTACCTGACTCTACTACCAACTCCCACCAAAATCTATCTATAGACACCCACTCAAATACTACAATTGAATCTTTATCAAAAAAATCTTATACTACTGCACTTACAAATAACCAAAAACTTAATTCTAAATACAAAGTTTCAGGCCATCGAGACTTTCACTAGTGTATCTTAGTTTTTAAAGATCTTGCAGCACAATATACTGATAAATTTGACAAACTTAAATGGCACAATGACTACATTATCTTGCGTTCAAATATATCACCAAACTTGAAGAATTCTTTGTCTACAAAATAACTTCTACTCCTACTTCTTACAATCTACCTTCTACAATTAATGAAAAATTCATCTACTTGGATACTGCCTTTTTTAAATCCTTTATCTGCAATACTTCCACCAACCACAACACCAGAAAGAATTCAAGACTCTCTTGCAAATTGCAACTAAAAGATACAAATATTGCCATGATACTCATTATATTAACAAAATCAATCAGGACTAACTTTTCCAAAGACTTAAAGCAAAACTTGTACTCAACTTCTTATATAACTTAGACTTCATGTTGAAAAGTCTCTATGATATTACAAGATATATCATCTATTTATTAAACTTCACAAAAATTACCATACTCTTCGACTTTGAAAAAATTAGAGCTACTTTAACCTCTGCTTACACCTCCATTTTAAAACCCTTATCTTCTTCTCTACATGTCATTACCAATAATATTCTCCAAATTCTTCTATTCAAACTACCTATTACAGACCACAGTGATACCAGGGTGGTCATTCTTGCACTTCGGAAAATATATATGTTTAAAAAACTGCATGATGGCTACTTCAAACCCCAATTATTACCTCTTTCTGACTACCTCTCTGAACTCAACCCCGAAATATGTGATTTATTCCTTATTACTGAACCATCAAAGCTTGCATACCTAGCTCTTTACTGTCAAAAACTAACCAAATACTATATTGTGGGTGAAAAAATTTCACTACTATACTTCAATCAACCACCTCAAAAACCTCATTTACCTAGCACACTACACAATCTAAACTCAGCTACTTGATATTTATTTCTATATAATCCCAAAGACTCCACAGAATTCTGCCATTTTATTGAGATTATTCACCAACACTATAGTTTCAAACGTGTTTTCTCCAACTTCTTTGTTTAGAAACAGCCTCTCTCTCAAAATCCAACACATGTAGTGATTACAAAAAAATACTCCTTCTTTATCAATGATCCAATGCTAGCAAAAGAGTTTCTGGCAGCTATACAAAACAAATACTGCTTCACTTTACCTCTCCTTGAGCAATATATGATAGTCAATTCTACAAACAAACCAGAACTACCCTTAATTGCTAACGAGGTAAAGCTGGTCAACATTACTATACCCATTACAAGTCCCAAAGTCTTAGTTGAAACTGCATGCCTTCTAAGAAAACACTACTACTTCAAACAAATTTTAGCTAACTGGATTAACATCTTACCAAAAACCTTTATTGAAACAGACCATCCTCTCCTTCCAACCACACTTAATAAAATCAAAGCTATAATTAATTACATATCTACAACTAAACCAATTATTCTATTAGCTACTTCCCAACAACAAGTTGAACCTGCTATTGCATTTTTACACACTCACTTTACTTTCAGAGAGGTTCTCACCCACATCATCGATATCTCTAAACTCCCTGTATCTAAATAGGAACTATTCAACGATTACATCTCTGATGAGTAAATTCGCTAATATATATGATCAACTATTGGAAACTAACAACTTATCTTCTAATCACACACCCTCTTTGACACTCTATACTAACCATCACATCTCTACCTTTTCTACTGAACAAACTTTCAATATCCTTAACTACAACGTCCAAGGTATCAACCAGTTACTCAAACTACAACTATTACTAGAATACTGTGATTCAAATAATATAGATATAGTCTTTCTAACAGAAACAAAACTAGCTGCATCTACTAACTCTATAGCACTTACTAACCCACTTTACAAGATTTATACATCAAACTATGATCAAACTAATGCAAATATTTACGAATTATATAAAGGAGTCACAATAGCTTTAAAACTATCAATTCAACTACATATTTATAAAATCAGCACCATACCTGGTATTGCCCTCCTTATTTATTTATACTTCTCTGCAAACAACAAGATATGTCTTATAGCAACCTACCTACTATCATCCACTACACCATTACTGTGTACCGCCCAACAACAAATTATCTTCTGGGTTAATAATAGTCGCTCCCAAAATATGAACATTGTAATTGCTAATAACTTTAACTGCAATACCAATCACCCCAACTACTACAGACAATGCCCCTTACTCCAACACCTTCTATCTATCAGCTTCATAAGCCTACTACAACTACACTACATTACTAAACCCACCTAAAACTGGAACTAGTCATCAAGTCAAATAGATAACATATGGATCTTTTCTAAAATCGCACTCTCATTCACTATGCCTCTTATCCTTAATCTTACTAATATTACAAAATAGTGATTACCAAATACTTACCACTTCACGACACATATACTCTATAGTTAAACAACTCTGGCTCAAAAAACAGTACTAGAAGATTTACAACTATGATCATATGAATTCCAAACTCTGGGAAGATTTCGCCAAATTTATTTCAACTCACATTTTAGCCTCTGCTTACCATTACTAGCAAATTACCAACACATACCAATTAAATAAAACCTTTAACAATCTTAACAATATTATCAACAAGCAGCTGACAAATTTATACTATATACAAATCAATAAAATCAGAACTCTCTCCGCTAATCCTCTGTACCAAATTTAGAATTAAGGAAAAATAGCAAATATCACAAAAACAAGTCTATAAACTGCCAAAAACCCTTATAGGAAAAAAGAAACCTCTACACAAAACAAAGAAACTTTCTTAGAAGTAAACAGGATACTTCATTAGTTAATTTTGTGGCAACTTGAAAATTTAAAAAATTTTTTATAACTTTCGGCACAAAAAGTAGGAATTTAGCAAACCCCTGACAAACAGATCACTAATTGTTATACCAAAACAACAAAAAATAACAAACAGTGACACGTACTTCTACTAGAACAAACAAACAAACAAAACTACAAGTAAACAAACAATCAAAGTAGACAAACAAACAACACAAATAAAACACATATTAGATTATAGAGAACTTGAAACAAAAATGACTAGAATAGCAGAATTAAAGAATTTTTTCAACAACTTGAAGAAGCAAGTAGAAGAAATTTACTTAGAACAAAGTAGATAACTCTTAAAATAGAAAGAGATATAGCAAAATTCACAGGAGCAGCATACCCAGAACAAATTGGTATAATACGCAGGCTACTAGATAGCTATAATTGGGTTCAAAACAAAAGACATAATGGACAAGAAATATCAGAAGTAGAAGTACAACTTATAGACGAAGATACAATAGAAACTGCTCATAGACAAATTATAAGCCACACTGCAGAAATGAATTTAGATATAAAAACTCCAATTTCAGTACTTGGTAAAAGAAAATATAACATAGATACATAAAGCAACATAGTTTCAAAAAAGAAAGAAAGAAATTATATAAGAAATGCAGAATTAAACTTTAATGAAAGTGATAAAGAATTGCTAATGCAATGTCACAACCAAAGAGGACTACAAATTTTCATTAATTTTCTCAGAAAGTAGAATAACAGACTATGGTACAAAGGATACAGTAAAATTAATCTCTCAAGTTAAAAGGCTGAATAATATAAATATAGAAACAAAACAATATAAAATTACTAATAAAATAGAGGATGTAGAAAAGCAAAGCAACATTAAAAAAGATAATTATAAGGTCTCTAAAGAACTAAAAGAGAAAGAAAATATATATAGTTCGATATAAGCACCTGGAAATATATCACCCCAAAACAAATCTATAGTAAATAAAACTGAAGAAGAAAAATTTAAAGTTATACTTTACAATTTGGAATTTACCTTTTGGTGTAAATACAGCATGAATTAGAAGATGTCTTAATCAATATGGCAGAGTAGAGGTAATAAAATAGCGCATGCTTAAAAGATTTGTAGCTGCATTTGTAAAGATAACTTGCAGAAGTAAAGAGCAGAAGCTAAATTTACAAAATGTATGGGTTATACATTTCGAAGAAAAAAGACAAGCAGGTTCACAGCAAATAGATTTAATTTTCAGAAACTAGAAACAAAAAAAAAGTACATGATTATGCTTAGAAATATCTCTAATTTGGCACTTAAATCAGTACTGTTGAGACAATTAAGAAGATTCAAAGCAAAGATGGTGTTTAAGCTTAATAATAGTAATAATAACCCAAGTGGAAACACTCTAGTTTACTTCGGGTCAAATGAAGATCTACAATTAGCAAAAACATCAATACTATATTACTTTCACAACAGAATGGAGTGGAGTGAAAAGAAATATTATAAATCAGCAAGAGATGCTAACTCTAAAGAAAATCGAAACATATTTGCCACGAGTAGCAACAATAATAATCCCTACTCAAAAACTTAAAGAGCCTCTATTAGACAAAACCTCAAGAGAAGGAGATCTCCTAGTAACAATAGTTTGCAGAGAGAAAATATTAGGGATAACTTTAGATCTTGCAGTAATACAAGAAAGCTGCTTAGAAGAGTAGAGTATAACAGAATGAATAAACAAAATTACTTACCAAATAAAGTGCAACTAGTGCAAATAAAATAAAAATAGATAAAGCAAAAGAAAAGAAAATCGAGGAAAAAGAGTTAAGAAATAATGCCTTTAATGTTTTAGAGCTTCAAAGTAATATTCTAAAGCAAATCCTAAATAAACTCTAAAAAATTAAAGAAAAACAGGAGGCTGTAGGCCCCAATCTCTTCTAAAAGGCACCACAGGTATATTAAAGAAATTTAACAAGCAAATAGCTTGTTAGGGCAAACACCATTTAAGATAAATACAAATGCCCAAGACTACAATAACTTTGAACAATTAAAAATAGGTTTCATAATATCAATAGGTTAAAGGAGAATAGAACAAAATTACAGGAGCTAATTGATTTTGGGAGAGAAGAAAGTTTAGATATTATTGGTTTAACAAAGACAAATACAAATGTAAGAGAGGCAAATTTCTTTGAAGTAAACTGGCAATACTATAGAGCTTACTGGTCCAAAGACACAATAGAGAAAAGAAAAGGCTCAGAGGTAGGACTACTAGTAAGAAAAGAATGGCAGATGCATCTTACTGAGGTAGTAGCAAAAGACATATATATGCTAAAAGTGGTCTTTAGATTTAAAAGAACAATACTAGTAATATGAGTAATATACTTCTCTCTGAATGACAAGCATGCCCAAAAAAAGATTTAACAGTACCTAACAAAAGATATCATCAAAAGTAAATTAAATATGAAGATAATTATAGAGGGAGACTTCAATGCAGAAATAGGAATAGATGCAGATGCTAACTAATCTGGTACAACAAAAAGTGATAAAAGGTACAAATTACCCCTAATAAGATAGCTACAAAAAGTAGGATATGCAGAAGCATACATGACTATGAATCCACAAACATTTAAGGCAACTTGATCCAATAGTAAATCCTGCTCGAAAATAGACCACATTTGGTTAGACTCTGAAATCAAAAAACTCGTGATAGATAGTGACGTTGAAGACATGGATTTTGTTACAGTAAGCAACCACAACCTGATATAAACAAATCTACTACTAAGCCCCATACTTCACACTAACTCAGTTGCAAAACAAAGGAAAAAACTCTCCAGTCAGCAAAAAATTTTTCTGTATAACAGAATGACAGATGAAGATTGGAAAACTTTACAACACTACTAGAGAAATATATAGAAGAATATCAGAGAAAAGAATTAAAAAAAGAAAGTTGTAGTCTTTTAAACAAAACCTGGATAAATAAAGTATAGAAGAAATTGGCAGAATTAATAAATCGAGCTGCAAGCAAAATAATTCTGCACAAGAAAATTCACAAACTACTATAGAAGAAAAACAAAAACAAGTCATATAGAACTCAAGATACTAGTGGACAAAGTAGCTAAGAAAAATAGGCTGTATGAGTCACCTAAATCTAAATACAAAAATTAAACCTGAAAACCAAACCTGGGTGAATATTCGAATTAAGTCAGTAAACTTGAATAATAATACTGAAATTTAAGAAGTAGAGGGAAAATGGACAGAACCATAGGTTGAAGATCTCAAAGGTTGGATAAAAATAATAGAAAAGAAAATGATCTCAGAACAAAGAATAGAGCAAGAAAAAAGAATAAGTAATAACATTGAAAGAAGATTTGGCATGATTGGGCATGAGGACAAAAAAATACTCAACAGTATTCTGGAAAGGCCCTGGAACAAAATAGTGATAAAAACAACAGGAAAAAAAAAGCTTATTTATAAACCTAAAAAGGTCAAAAAGAAAATAGATGAGTATTTTACAAAACAATTCCAGAAAGATACCCAAGCATCAAGAGAAGAAGAAGAAGCATGGAAGAAGGAATACCTACCTAAAGACTTCATTAAACAAGAGTGGTATAATAGTGTCTTTAATGAAATCAAGAAAAAAGAATAGAGAGAAATGCTCCAAAAAACATCCAACAAGTTAGCTTTGGGTTTGTCCAATATAGGATACACAATCCTAAAGAAGCTTAGGAGAAAAGCCACAAAACTTTT